TTCTGTTATAACCTGCTGTGGGTATCTCTGGAAGAACATGAAAAACTGTTTTGTGGCAGAAATAATGTACTTTCACTGGGGAATTTAAATAAAAAAATCAAAATAATTAAACTATCCAATTAAAATGAGATCATTCACCTGACTTGAACTCAGTGCTTGTTTTCTGTTAAGGTTTTTATGTCTAACCGTAGAAATGACAAGAAATAAATTTTGATGAGGACACTTAATAAAAGTTGTAAATTCTATTCCTGCATGTTTAACAGTGATTCACTTTTTGTCCCCAACTTTTAGACTAAGCAGTCTTTGTTTCCATACACTAAAATTCAGTTTAAAATAGATCTTTTCAGGCAAACTCAGAGCATTGTTAGGGTTCCAATGTTGCTTCACTTCTTTCCCCAGACACAGGACTACTAAACTGACTTTGTATTTTAACTCGGAATTTTACATACAGTTTTGTTTTACTTATCATAATGACAAATCTCTCAACGTAATGTATGCTTGACAACTGACCACTTCCATGACTCATTATTAATGCAATCCATTAAAACAAAGTAAATTATTATAAAATCTGCTTTTTCAGACAAGTTATGACACAGCTCTGGAGCAGATCGAACTTGAAGCAGGACCTTACGGCCCAGAGGTAAGGACACCACCACTGCACCACAGACTCCTTGCAAAAATATTCTAAGTACACAGAAATACAGGTGTTAACAGGGTGATGGAACCGTATGTCTTTTATAAAGACCTTAAGAAATAGGAATAAGAGTAGGTCATTTGGCCCCTTGAGCCTTGTCCGCTATTCAACAGAATTATGGCTGATCCGATAGTCCTCACATCCACTTCCTAACCCTTTCTCCATAACCCTGGATTCCCACTGTATCAAGAAATTCCAAAGGCTCTCAGGGAAGACATTCCTCCTTATCTCAGGGTTAATTTGGTGACCCTTTATTTTGGCTGTTACCGATTTTTTATACATGCACCATAGCATTCTATCCGGATGCATCACAGCTTACTATGGCTACTGCTCTGCCCAAGACCGCAAGAAATTGCAGAAAGTTGAGAGCACAGGCCAGTCCATTTCACAAACCAGCTTTCCATTCACTGACTCCATCTATACTTCCCACTGCCTCTAGAAAGCAGCCAACATAATCAAAGACCCTTCACACCCTGGTTATACTCTCTTCCACCCTCTCCTGTCAGGCAGAGGACACAAAAGTTTGAAAACAGGTACCAACAGATTTGAGAACAGCTTCTTTCCTGCTGTTATCAGACTTCTGAACAGACCTCTCATATATCAAAGCTGATCCCTCTGCACCTTCTTTGTAGCTGTAACACCATATTCTGCATTCTGTCCATATGTAAGGTATGATTTGCCTGGATAGCAAGCAAAGCTGTACTCTTCACTGTATCTCAGTACATGTGACAATAATAAATCAAATATCAAAGCTTAAGACATTCACAATTGACTTCTTCAATTTATCAAACAACGTTCCGTAAAAATGAAGAAAATAGGCTACTTACTATCCTTCAGGGTCGCCATGTTTCGAACTTGGCCCCTGTAACGTAATTGAAATTGGACTTTAGTAAATTTAAACAGGAAATATATATTATTTGATTGGAACACTAGAAATTTGAACCATCCTCTCTGTACAGAAGTCATGGAGGAATTAGCGACTGTGATCTCATCTATCGGTTGATGCTCTTGGACACATTCCTAACATCTTGGGATGCGAAAGCATAAATGCTGATTGCTAAACTGAGCAATGTTCACCTTGTTGCTGTTTGCTTAATGTATGAACTATACTCGTATAATTTTGTACAATAAAAACAAAGTGCCAGAGAAACACAGCAAATCTGGCAGCATTTTTGAGACAGAAAGTAAGTTAATGTTTCAAATCCAAAATGGCTCTTGCTCTGAAGAATGGTCATTCAACCTGAAACGTTAACTGTGATTTCTCTCCACAGATGCTGCCAGACCTGCTGAACTTTATCAGCAATTTCTGTTTATGTTTCTGATTTACAGCATTGCAGTTCTTTCGGTTTTTATCACTCTTGTCCAGATCAGAGGAAGGTCATACTGTAATTTAAGCATTACAAGGTTTCTCTTTTCAGATGCTGCCAGATCAGAGTTTGTCCAACACTTTCTGTTGCAGATCTCTGGCATTACTGTACTTTGCTTTTATTTGAGAGTATTATTTCATGCATTCTGAAAGTTGAATGGATTTAGCAGGACAGGTAAATGATGGCCAACATACTGCATTGTACCTAGTCTGTGACGTTCCTAACAGTTCACAAAGACAAATGGTCATATGGTTACAGAAATCATTTTAAGACATTTAGTTTTTGGTGAGGTTCAAAAAGAATGCTGCTAATCAAAATGACATCAGAATTCATAAAGCTCTCTGCTGTGTTTCATTGGAAGGGTGGATATCAAGTGTACGTTTTCCCTCTGCTATTGGAATTCATAGAAAAGTTAGGTTAAATGCACAATGGGAAATACTATTGTCAGTGGCAATTTCTCTTAATATAAAAAAGTGTCTATTGCTATCATAAAGAAGGGTTGAGCATTTGTTCTGGGTATAAACAGAATAATTTAGCATCATAGGAGGCTTCATTTTAATTCCAACACTTGTTCAGTATAGAATTGACCATGGTTAGATATAATGAAATCCAAATCCTGGCACAGCACGATTTTGATCGATTATAATGTAGCCAGGTTTGCTGCTGCAAATGCATTAATACTTCCGTCAACTAGATTTCTCTAACAGTATTATATCTTATAAGGGTCATTGGGACAAACTCTGCTTTCTCTGCACATATGCTGCCAGATCAGAGTTGCTCCTAGAATTTCGGTTTTTGTTTCAGATTTCCAGCACCTGCAGTACTTTGATTATTTTGTTAAGTACTAATATCTTAAAATACGAATAGGCAATCCTAAAAATCCTCTTTCACTGCACAAATCCAACCAATTTTTTATAAAACTGAAAGAGCAATTGAGTATTTCAAGCCAGCACTGAAAATAGTTCATCACTGCATATCTCTACAGACTGTTGTGGAAATACAACACACAGACCATGCACAGAAGTGGCTCAGGTTCAATAATGGATCAGTATTAAATTAGTTCCTGTTTATTCAGATCAGGAGTAAAGCACTACAACTAGACTCAGATAAATGAAACACAAGTTCCAACCCTCATCATTATTTAACAGGATGCTGAACACAATGTTAACAGAAGAGATCAATGTGGGTCTTGACTGTTATGTACATCAACTATCATAACGAGAAATCCAGTTTCCTTATTATACATATTTCCACATGCGGAACTGTTAAAATATCCATTTATCTATTGCTTCTTTTGGTATTACATCTCAACCGAAGTCCTCTCCTTGATGAATGAATAAAATGGAAAAAAACAATGTACAAGAAAATTGCAAATTTTTGAACCCAGGTAAACGCATTCGAACTCAAAATGGAAAAGGGTTAGATGTTACAAATATTAAGACGATTCCTTGACCAAACTTCTGTTATACCTTGATTCAATTTGATTTTATTATATATTAGGTGTAAAATCATCATTCAGTAACTGCTATTCTATTTTTACCCAATTCAATCCAGCATTTAGACCACAACATAAACATGTTAATTGGACTTCATGCCATTGGGATATTTACAATTACATCATGTTCAATAACATCACATTGTTTTTGTTTTATTTATGTAATTAGCCGATTCATTTAAATTAATAATGTATATCATGATGACCTAGCCCTGCAGCCCAACTAAGTTACAGGCAGTCTCCAGGTTGCGAACACATTCCTTTGTTAAGTTGATTTCTACACACATCTGAACACAAAGCAGAATAATGAAAAATAGTATTTCCTAAGTAGAGGAAATGATCGGATGTCAGATCTTTAAAATTACATTGCTGTATGGGATCACTTTTGTAAGTCTATAAATCAGAGACTCACTGGATATATTATTTCACCTCTTCTACAATGGAGAATAAAGAATTATGGTACAGTCATTAACACACTCACACATTTTGTAAATCATAACTGGATAATACTGCTAATAAAGTCTCAAAACAAAAAAGCCCGATTTCAGATTTTAAAAATTGCAGCATATTCTGGCATTTTCTGTTTCCTTTTTGGATCAACAGACATTATTTCTCTGCCCAATTTGTTTATAACTAAAGTCTCATCTATCTGTTCAGGTGGACACAACAAAGCAATTCCACGGTACTATCTTGAAGAGCAGGGGAGTTTAATAGTGTCCTGGCCAATAGTTACCCTTCAAACAACGCTACCAAAACAGATTATCTGGTCGTTGTCACATTTATTATGGGGGGGAAAGAGGGGAGAAAACTTGCTGTGAGAAAACTGGCTGCAAATTTCCTACATTACAACATTTTCAAAACAGTACTCCATCCCAAGAGCTGCCAAGTGATTTGGGTCTGCGGTTGTGGAAGGCGCTATATAAATGCTACATTTTGATTTCCAAAAAAAAGGTTCCATCCAGCCTACCAGGAAGGAAGAACTTCCCAGTCAGTTACCAGAGGCCACATCAAATACAATCCTAGGAAGTGGACAGAGGACAGGCAGAGAGAGGATTTCCTTGGAAAAGGCCTCCAAGCCAAGGGTCATCTGCCCAGATCGAAAACGTACGCAGGGAGCACCGTATCACCCTGCAGTTTGACAAAAAACATTCCTCTCTGAAAGGAGAAAAAGGCGCACTTTCGCTACGAAGAGACGATGTCCATTACCATTGGGGCTCAAACAGCAAAGCACTGCTCCTTGCCAACATGGTGAATCCTTCCCGGGCGGATACGGCTGAAGGTCAGCGCTCTGCAATCACGCATGCGTCAGCTATTGGTCTACGTGACCGCCCGTTGCGTCGCGCGCTCCACTTTGGGAGCTGTAGTCCTTTCAGCCGCCGATAAACTACGACCAAACAGGTGTTTGAACTCCAGATCCCAGAGGCCATTCAAACTATCCTCACCAGCAACGGAGATGCCTGCGGTAAAGTTGTAAATATTTCCTCTCCTCAGATTTTAAATTATCTCTGACGGAAAGAAAAACACAAAGAGGAAGGGAGAAAAGATTTTAGGAAAAGCAGTTGCGTGGAAGGCGGTGACGAAGCACGCATCGGTGATGTCAACACTTCTTGCGGATCCCGGAGACGTCAGCACTTCCTGCGCAATTCGATCGGCGTTGAAGGATGGGCAAAGCCGAGTTCCTGACTCCCAAGGCCATCGCCAACCGCATTAAATCCAAGGGACTGCAGAAGCTGCGATGGTACTGTCAGATGTGTCAGAAGCAGTGTCGGGACGAGGTGAGCGAGCCAGAGTACACACACTTCGTGCGTGGGTGCGGGATTCGGGGTCTCACTGGTCCCCCTCCCCCCTCCAGCATCACGAAGGAAGGCCTGCTTTGTTAGGAAGGCCACTGTCATCCTCCAGGGAGAGCAAGGGGAGGATTGCTGCAGATGCTGGAATCCGAACTGAAAACAACAAATGCTGCAGATCACTGTGGGCCAGGGTCATCCAGACTCGAAATGTCAGTTTGCTCTCTCTCCATGGAGATGCTGTCTGACCCGCTGTGATCTCCAGCATTTGTTGTTTTCAGAGCGAGTGGGAGGGTCTCTGCCCTCGAAACGTTAACTCTGCTTTCTCTGTCTCTCTGACATAGTAGGAACTGCAGATGCTGGAGAATCCGAGACAACAAG